GGGGGGGAAAATCTGAAATTTTAAAATCATAAGTCCAGAATGCATTTTATTATAGTCAATTAGCATGCTCTGTAGTTTTTTGAATTTAAATAAATAGGCTTGTATATGTCATAACACTTGAATTATTTTAACAAATACATCAAATTGTTGATGATCGTTAAAGTTGGTTATAGTTTCTGTTTGGATATATTTTTTTAAAATATATTTTTATTGACTTCAGAGAGGGAGAGGGAGAGAGAGATCGAAACATCAGTGATGAGAGAGGATCATTGATTGGCTGCTTCCTGCATGCCCCACACTGAAGATCGAACTGGTCATGTGCCCTAACGGGGAAGCAAACCGTGACTTCCTGGTTCATAGGTCGATGCTTAACCACTGAGCTGGGCTGTATGGATATTTTAATGATAAAAAGTTAAAATACTCATTGACAGAAGTTTTCATTTATTGAAGACTTTACAAACTAGAGCTTCGGAACTAGGCTAGGCCTTGAGGATAATTTATCTAAGTCCTCTTTGTTAAAGGAAACTGAGGCACTAAGATGTTAGAAGGATGTTAGTAGCTTAAACAGGTACTGATTAAGTGGAGCCGAGACTCCTGATTTCCCGTCCTTTGTTGTTCAGATCTTTATGCCAGGAGTAAGGTTCACTGCTGGAAAATGAGAAATGATTGCCATTACATAAAGCAGATGTGGGGAAAGCCAAATTACGTTCTTGGGACCAAAGAATTAAATGTTCAGTTGTATGAAGTTCTCTGTTTTGGAGTTGGGGGATGGTGATGGAGAAGAGGAGATGGTTCATTTTAGGATTCTTGATTCGTAAAAGCTAGCCACTTCTAGCTTCTAAATTATTTGACTGCTCAGATGATTAACATAGAGACCTCAAATGCAAGAAAATTAGCATTAGTATACTTTACTTATAAATGTCCTTTAAGAATACTACAAAAATTCTCAGGTATTACCATGTTTTTTAAAGCTGGAAAATTGATTTGTGATAATTATGATTCTCAGAGAGAATACAAATAATTATGAGTTAAAGGGAAGCATCTATGAATTTTTATTTTCTACTCAAACTGGCATTTTCTCATTATAAGAGGTGTTGTGGTCTATAATTGATAACTTGACTGTTTCATATTCAGGAAGAGTAAACAAGAGTCAGATTCAAAGTAGTTCAAAATGTCACAGCAGTGAACCTGACATTTCTCTCTTGGTTGTGATATTGCATTCATTCTAGTATCTCCTTCAATACCTTGTGTTTGGATGTAGGAAAATAATATTGCTTGGTGGGTCAACAAGATTTGCAAGTTGTAAGCACTCTTGCTTGTGAGATACTTCAGTGAATAGCCTTAGGCAAAAACAGAGTTTTTGTTTATGTGATATTTAAAAATCTATGAATAGTTTGTATACAAGCTATTGACATTTAAAACTGAGAATTTAAAAATAATTTATTTTAACATTATAATAATAAACCTAATACTTATTAACATACTGTTTTAATGAAAATAACTATATTTTCCAAAACAAAAATATCTCTGGAGTGCCATTTTTCACAGTTTTGCAAATGTATCTCAGTATGTCATTTTTATTAATGTATATAAAGAAAATTTCCATCATATAGGTATGTACTTAAAAGGAAATTTAAAAATTTTTTCAGGTAATTCTTCTTTGATACTACACCAAAAATCAGCAGTTGGTAGAAGATTAGCTGCAAAATGAAATAGAAAATTACACTGCAGTGGCCTTGGTCACAGCAAAATCCTGCATGAGCCAAAACTCTAAAGGAGGGGGACCATCTTTGTTTGGTGGAACTGTGGGCAAAGCCTCTTTGCCTTTTTAAAAAATCCTCACCTGAGGATTTTTTTTCATTGATATTTAGAGAGTGGAAGGGATGGGAGAGACAGAAAGAGAGAAACATTGATGTGAGAAAGACACATCCGATTGGTTGCCCTCCTGCATGTGCTCCAACCTGGGCGGGGATCGAGCCTGCTACGAGATGCGTGCCCCTGACCAGAATTGAACCCAGGACCATTCAGTCTGTAGGCCAACACTCAATCCACTGAGCCAAATCGGCCTCTGTGTCCTTTTTTATTTCTCTGTCCTCCTGCCCCTCCAAACATGGAAAGAAGAAATGCCACCAACTTAACGACCTCTTCCAGAGAATGGAAGAAAAGAGAACTTCTCAGCTTACTATACATGGTCAGCATTACTCTGATACCAAAATTAGACAGAGACAGCACAAAATGAGAAACTACAGACTGATACCTGTGAACATTGATACAGATATCCTCAACAAAACATTAGCAAGTTGAATTCAACAGTATATACAAACAATACACCATGATCATGTCGAGGGTTAGTCCTTGAATGCAAGGCTAGGTCAATATTTGAAAGTAAGTCAGTGTAATCCACCATAATAACAGTCTAAAGAGAAAAACCACATGATTATACCAATAGATAACAACAGCAGCAACAAAAAGCCCACACACATTTGACAAAACACAACATCCACTCATAAAATCTCTTGGAAAATTAGAAATAGAAGGGAAATTCCCTAACCTGTTAAAGGTTACCTATAAAAATTTTACAGCGCCTATCATACTTAATGATGGAGACTGAATGCTTTCTTTCTAAGATTAGGAGCAAGGTAAGATGTCCACTCTCAACATTCATATTCAACATTATACTGGAGTCTTAGCCAGTGCAGTATGGCAAAAAAAGAAAAGAAATAAAAGGCATAGAGATTGGTAAGGAAGAAATAAAACTGACTCAGTTTACAGATAACATGATTGTCAATGTAGAAAAACCCAAGGAATCTACCCAGAAAACTAACCAACAAAAACCCTATGATTAATGCGAATTTAGCAAGCTTTCAGAATATAGGGTCAACAGACAAATCAATCTCATTTCTATAACTTGCATTGTACAATTAGAAACCCAAATGTGAAAGCCAGTACCATTACAATAACTCAGAAAAACTAAATACTCAGGTATAAATCTATCAAAGCTTGTATAGGCTTTGTATGCTGAAAACTACAAAATTGCTGAAATGTAATTTATTTGGTGTATAAATCATTTTGTTCCGTTGTCACCAAGATTTCTCTGCCTATACTCAAATTTCCTTGGAGGACAGATTCCAGAGTAGCAATCATATTTTCATGCATCTAACTTCATCTATGTTGTATGAAATAGATGTAACAGTAGACGTTTATATATACATATAAAATCTTCAATTTTATCTATCTAATTTGAAGAACAAAAATAATTTCAAGTTTTGGTTGTTTTTCCAATATAAAGGATCAGTCGTATTCATCATGTGATTTGGAATTGAATTTCATATTTCATGTACACATTTATCTTTGTCAGTGGCTGCTTAGGAGCTATTATAAACACGTGAAGTCCTGCTGTGCCTGTCAGCTGTGTGAATTTTTTTTCCTTTTAATTTCAGTTTGGAAGCCACAAATGAAACATATTTTCTAAAAAGTTTAATTTAATATTGTCTCTTTTTATAGCAGCCTTCTATTGTTTTCTGATTTTTAGTTTTCCTTATTTAAGCTTTGTGGTTTGTGGACCTGTTCATTGCCAAAAGGTGTTTGTTTATGCTGCTGGTGTATATATGTTAAGTATTTAATGAAAAAGGGCTTACAGAATTAACTCCTGAAATTCACATGAGTGTATTTAGTGTTGTGTATCAGCAGGGGATTTGATTTATTATAACCTGTTCCCTCTGAGTCCAGAGCTGACATTAGTTTTATGCTTAAGTATTCACACACAAAGACTTTAGAATGTGATCCCCTGTGGACTGTGACTGGGCTGAACACTCAGGGCCTGGTGATAAAAAGAAGCTCTTCATTTAGATTCAACGAGCTAATCATCTTCATAACAAAGATGGATAAGAAAAGACATAGTGCACAAGCTATTAGGATCAGTCATCCAGGGATTGCCTCGCCATAGAGAATACAAAGCAGTTTAGAAAAGTTGGTTATTCTACTCAATACCTGACTGTAATGACCTTTGTAAAGAAATTTCAGATGTGCTGATTATTTAGGATGGATCATCTTCTAGAAAACCAGGATCAAATTCAGACTGAACTTGACCATTGAAAGAAAAATTGCCTTTAAAGCAGAGTAAACTTAAAGATGAATTTAGATATTATTCTTCGATATAGAACAACAATAAAAACATATGAGAGAAAGAATTAACTAGATGGAAGTATTATCTCTCACCTTTCTCATCCAGTAGCTAAGACTTCAGAAATGCAGAAACCACCTGGGCATTCATCACTTAATAGCTAGAGAAATGCTCTCCTTCCACCCTTTCCTGCCTTTCTGCACACGGGCAGCCAGTCCAGACCATGCCCTTCCCTGGTTTATATTCTGGTGGTTCTGTCTGTGGCGGCCTTACCCTCATAGTGCCTACACCACCAGTTTTCCCATTTAACTGGCTTAACAATACCTGCTTTTGCTTAGATTCCCAAAAAGCATCCTGCTATCACTGTACCAGTTCAACTCTCTCCTTTGTAATCTAACCTCCAGTGCCTGATTTCCAATTATTGCTAGCAACAATGGTGAAGGAAAGAGTCCTCAGAATCCTAGTGACCACAAACTGAACAGTAATTTTATTATTATTGGGGAGCAAGAGGGGGCAATAAAAACTAATCCCAATCTGTCATTTAAGATCTAACAAGGAACCTTATCTTTACATGTTACATTAAAACAATTATATAACAGCAAGCCCATCCTGTGTACCAGGAACAGTTATAAATGCTATGCATGCTGAACTCATTTTAACTTTCACAATAATCCTAAGAGGTAGGTACTGTGGATAATGAAGCCACGCTTACAGGTGAAGTTCCCAAGAGGTTAAGTCAGTTGCCCAGGGTGACACTGCTTATAGAAGACAGAATATTTTTGAGATTTTCTGCTTAATACCGTGAGATTGCTGTGCACTCAGGAAGGGGGAGGGTCTAAGTTCCACTGACGGATGAAATGTCCTTTTCTTTGTGTAGTATGAACCCAGAGGACCTGGCCGGCCCTTGTACCAAAGAAGAATCTCCTCTAGCTCAGTCCAGCCTTGTTCTGAAGAAGGAAGCACTCCTCAAGATAGCCTTGCTCGGTGTAAAGAGCTTCAGGACCACAATAACCAATCCTCATTCAACTTATTATCCCCGGAGTCCTGGGTAAACACCACCTCATCTACCCCCTATCAGAACATTCCGTGCAATGGATCCAGCCGGGCAGCCCAGCCCAGAGAATTGATAGGTAAGACAGAGTTGGCGGGCTGCTAAAACTGTGGTTGTTTATGGAGTTTTCTTCTTCCATCTCCCCCGTTTGCATTATTAACTTTGAACAATATTTAGTGGTCATATCTCATAGGTAGCCTCAGGCATACATTAATTTAGAACCATATTGATTCTATATTTATGGTCTGGAAGGTAAGTGGATCAATATTTATGGGGAACGGATCATTTTGACCTGTGAACAAATGAAAGAGGTAATAAAACTTAAAATGTATTTCTAAATACTAGATAGACTCACCTTTGCTTGGGAAATGTTTGTTTTCTGTTGTTGTTTTTGGAGAGGGTTTCTTCAGAGTGGGGGATGTTAGAATTTGTTAGGCTAATAACAGTTTTCAAGGATTTATTCTCAATAAAGTTTGAGACATGGTAGTTTGGCTATGAGAGAAACTCATATAACTGCTAATGTAAAGTCTAACATTTTGAGATTTAGAAATCCTTTGTTTATTTCTTGTATTCTAATGAACTGAGAAATCCAAGGCTAAAGAGTTAAAAACAAAAGCATAGAAAGGCATTGGAATGGGTAAGGCTCTAAACTTGTAATGTATGGTGGGATGTCTACAGTCTTCCTCTTTAGCCTTGAACATGAATGTGCTTTTATCTTTCTTTCGTTCCTTCTTTTTGTGTGTGTGTATTTTGCATGTAAAGAAATGAATGCTGCTATTTGCATTCTGTAATCTATAGCCTGTATGTAGGCTGTCGACATCAATCTTTGGGAACAAGTCTGTGATCTTTGGTGAATTTCTGCTTGGTAGCAACCTTTGTATTTGAAATTAATTTTGTTCATCTTTAGAATGTGAACCCATTGTTTCTGTAACTGACCCATTTTTGAGTGTGTGCCATGCAAGCATATTTTTAGAACTATAGACATGGTAGGGCAAAAAGCAGTAAGAAGATTTTGGTTTTGTTTCCTGGCAAGTCATTGTCATTTTAATCTTTAAACATTCATTAGTACCTACCATGTGTAAGCTGTATTTTGCCTGGGGTGGTTTTTCATTTTAAAGGTCTAACGTAAATACACTCCTATGATCACATTTGAATTTCCTGAGAAACATCTAAATTACAAACCAGTGATGGAAATTTGTTACTTTTTCCTTGATTTGTTTATAATAATAATTTATTTTAAAGACAACATCATTTCAATCTTTTTTCCACTTAAATTTTAGGATAGTTGTTGGCCAAAATATTTAACCTGAGCTGATAAGGTAGAAAGTTCCTGAACAAATACCCAAAGTGCATGTCATTCCTGGTATCTTTTACACAAATATAAAACTATTTTTTTCATTGCTAGGAGACAAATTGTACTGTTCTTTAGTTGAAAGTAAAAGTTAAGTATGTAGAAATTAATTCAAAATCACTAATATCCTTGGCACAACTTGTCTATCAGCAGGTATGTATGTAGATACGTACGTATTTATTTTCAGAGGAAGGTAGCAGTTGCCAGTGGTGAATCAATAGCAAAATAGTTTCTCCACAGTTATAAGCCCAAGAGCAGAGACCATATCTGTGACCTTTTTGAATTGGATTTTCCACTTTGGCACTGATCACATTTCAGGCTCTTTCAATGTCTGCTGATAAGGAGATAATGAAAGTAGATCCTGTGCAGTGAGGGGCTGATCCCAGGCCCTGCAGGGCCTTTCCGCAAGGGCATGGTGGTTCTGGGGCAGGGGAGGTCCCTCTCTAACACGATGTGTTTGGGTTCTATTCACTTACCTTGGTAATGAGACATACTTTATCAGACATTTAAAGGATAGTTTCTCTATCTGGAGTTAAATATATAAGTTAACAGAAGTTTTGAATTCAGTTAGATATAACAGCATAGACAATAGGTTAAACAGCCTCTAAAATATTATTTTGTAGGTATTTATTATTATAAACTGATTATATTGTCATGAAAATGAGAACATGGTTAAAAATAAATCTTAGTAAATAAAAACAGTAAGTTCTTTAACAGCTAATTAAATGTTTGCTTTATGTACTGTGGTAGGCAGTACTGTCACTTTTATATTGAAATGTTGGACAGATGCTCTTAAAAGCAGTTGTTTCACTTACAAAGTCAGTGACATTTAGATGGAAAAGACACAAATGTTCTAGAAGGATGTTAAATGGTTTAAAATAATTTTGAACAATTTTATGAATTTTTAAAGTTTCCATACTTGAACCTTTAAAAATTATCCGTTTTAAAATTATTTATATTTATATTTACTTAAAGTACAATATAAAGTACAATAAAGTTTTAAAGTACACTATGAAATTAGCATATTGAGTCAATGAATTATTAAGACTAAAAAATGAAATATTTTCACCTTAACCTCCCAATCCACAAATAGTTAATAAACATGTGGGAGCCCTGGCTGGTTTGGCTCAGTGGATGGAGCGTCGGCCTGCGGACTGAAAGGTCCCAGGTTCGATTCCAGTCAAGGGCATGTACCTTGGTTGCGGGCACATCCCCAGAGGGGGGTGTGCAGGAGGCAGCTGATCAATGTTTCTTTCTCATCGATGTTTCTAACTCTCTATCCCTCTCCCTTCCTCTCTGTAAAAAATCAATAAAATATATATAAAAAATTTTTTTTGTTTTGTTAAGAAATCACTTTTTTAAAAAAATATATATATTTTATTGATTTTTTACAGAGAAGAAGGGAGAGGGATAGAGAGCCAGAAACATCGATGAGAGAGATTGATCAGCTGTTTCCTGCACGCCCCCTAGTGGGGGGTGTGCCCGCAACCAAGGTACATGCCCTTGACCGGAATCGAACCTGGGACCCCTGAGTCCACAGGCCGACGCTCTATCCACTGAGCCAAACCGGTTCAGCCAATAAAATATATTAAAAAAAAACAAAAACAAAAAAACATGCGGGAAATGCCCATAACCACCAGTAATCACAGGTATGCAAATCAGAGCTACAACAAGACTATCTACACTAATAAAAGAGAAAAATGGTAATTGGCGTACAACGCTACCCTTTTCATTGGCTAATCAGGGCTATATGCAAATTAACTGCCAACTAAGATGGCAGTTAACTACCAACAAAAATGGTGGTTAATTTGCATATGCAGGCACAATGCAGGGAGGCGAAAGGGAAAGCAGGAAGAAGCCCCCTGCCACTGACAGTGATCGGAAACCCAGGGGGGATGCTAAGAGCGGGGGGTCAGGGCCCCCAGCCATGATCGGAGAATCAGGCGCCTGTGCCGCCCTGGCCAGTGATAGCAGGAAGTAGGGGTGGAGCCAGCGATGGGAGCTGGGCACGGTCGAAGCTGGTAGTCCCAGGAGTTAGGGGTCCCTTGCCTGGGCCTAAAACGGAGCCCACGATCGCGGGGCCACTGCAGCTGCGGGTCCCCGCTGCCCGGGCTGGACGCCTCAGCCAGAGGCGTTAGGCCTGGGCAGGGGTGGAGCCTGCAACCGCGGGGAGCTGGGGGTCCCCTGCCCACGCCTGACGCCTGGGCCAGAGGCAAGGGGCCGATCCTGCGATTGGAGGGGGATGGGGGTCAACGCCTGAGGGCTCCCAGTATGTGAGAGGGGGCAGGCTGGGCTGAGGGACACTCACCCCACACACACACCCAATGCACGAATTTCGTGCACCGGGCCCCTAGTTTATTTATAAAATAGGTTAAGGTTAAAGTAATAACACCATTGTGGTGATTGAGTAGGGAGATGTGTAAACATTGTTGGTTGAGTATCTTCTTGCAGGGTAGTTTGACCATAGTTATGAAAACCTTTCATTGTGTGTATACCATATGACCCAGCCATTATACTTCTAGGGGATTTATCCTAAGGAAATAGTTGTGAATATTAATAAATGTTTATTTCCAATAACATTTATCGCAGTGTATGGCAGTGAAATATTACTTATAATCCAAGTTTCTAAAAATGAGAGGTTACTTAAAATTTATCTACATTATATATTGCCCTTAGGAAAAAAATATACCAACAAATTAAGACTTATCCTCCGGTATTTGGGAATATGAATGACTGACTTTCTTCTTTGGCCTTTTGTGTAATTTCCAAGTTACCTTCAGTGAACATATATATGATTATAAACCAATATAATATTAGTTAAAATCTTAAAAGATTGAAAACCAGAGCAGTGTTTGGAAACAAGTTATTTACTTAAAGTACAATATAAAGTACAATAAAGTTTCTGTACTTTATACAGTAAAATTAGGAGGAGTCAAGTCAAATTTTAAAGGACCTTGAAAGTCAGGCAGATTATAGGAAACGTGAACTGAAGGTTATAGCGGTTTCTCTTTATGCCATATTTACTTATGTATTGCAAGAAAAGGTAGCATTTATAAACAATGGAATTCAGTGCTACTATTACTTAGGTTACTAATCAAAGCTATTTTGACCAGAAGTCTGCCTATACAGCTTATTTTTATTTAAGAAAGAACATGTTTGTTTCCATTTTCAAACCATGAGCAGTTAAAATAATAAATTTCAAATGTCCACTTGTACATATTAGAGTTTTGAAAGCAAACCTTCACACTTGACCTTTAGTTTTTATATGCCAGCGATTCCAGTTCATGTAGTGAACTCTTGTTGAGTGTTAATAAGAGAGAGAAGTTGGTTAGTTGTATTATGATTTTGACATTTTGTGGCAGAGTTGCCTGTCCTCCTGGCTGCCCTGTCCAAGTACCTGGAGATGGGAACCAGTTGTGACATGTGTTAATGAGATGTGTGAGGATCGCCCTTAATCCGTGTCACTGTTTCCTGCTTTTAGCTCCTCCCAAGACCATCAAACCCCCTGAGGATCAACTGAAGTCTGAAAACCTCGAGGTGTCCAGTTCCTTCAACTATAATGTGCTGCAGCATCTCGGCCAGTTCCCCCCCCTCATGCCCAACAAGCAGATTGCAGAGTCGGCTAACAGCAGCGGCCAGCAGACCTCGGGGGGCAGCAAGCCCGCCATGTCCTACGCTAGCGCTCTGCGGGCGCCCCCCAAGCCCAGGCCCCCGCCTGAGCAGGCCAAGAAGAGTAGCGACCCTCTGTCTCTGTTCCAGGAACTCAGCCTGGGGAGCTCCGCAGGCAGCAACGGCTTTTACTCCTATTTTAAATAATCACTTTGTTTTTGCCTCAAGGGAGAATGTTTTAATTTCTGTTTCTATCAATAGAATTAAGATAGTTGGACTTCATCTATAGATGCACAGTTCCCTTTGTTTTAATATTAAATATGTTCTCACTTAATTGCTTCGCTGCTAGACTTGCAACTAATTTTTTAAAAGTATATTCCATTATTTTGCATTTTTGACATGAGTCAGAATTTTGACAGCTTTTATGTAGAATAAAAATATTTTTAAATTTGTGTATTGTTACATATGTTTGCATCGAGCTAGCAGCTAAGAGGTTAATTGTGCAACTATAAAAAAAAGAGAAAAAAGTTTGTCTAAAATGTATTTAAAAAGAAAAAAAAAGTTGTAAGTAGCATTTACATTTATTCAATAATATTACCATATGCTGGGTTTCTGTACCAGAAATGGCCAGTTATGTACAAAATGTATGTTATTTTTGCTTAAATTCATTTAAAATTTTTTAAAATAAAGGGCAGCATCTTATAAATACTTTTAAGTTTTATCAGCTTTTTTTTGGTGACAAGATGCTGCATTCTAAAACTTTGATAGTTTTAGACCACGTGTGGTGTGCTGATTTCATCTCCATCCACTGCAGGATAGAGTCAGAGGCGTTCTTCGCAGGTGTACCTGTATGCCACTGTTTTTTGTAACGTGGAAAAACATGGGCATACTTAGTTATTTTTTTGAACAAGCTACACTTCAAGCTTGTTTTTACTGTTAATTTGATAGTGTGTTTTTTTTAAACAGATCATGAAGCTGAAAATTTTTAGGATTGTTGGTGCTTAGTAGACTTGATAACTATTTTAAAAATGCGTGGATTTAGTAAAATCTTTTTTTTCCTCACTATGCATGTGTAAACGTTTGTAATCTGGCTCCCCGTCACCCCCTGCCCACTCCAGTGGTATAAAAAATTGTGCCGCTTTAAGGTTATTCCCCCTCCCGTGAAAATTTTGGTACCTTATTTAATGTTTACATAACAATGTGACATTATACATGGCAATTCAAATATTTTACTAACTGTTTGGTTTGAGGAACATCATTAAAAGAAGAAACATGTTTGTCAAAGATGCATCAAAATTCGTCAAAATCTGAGGCAAAAAGCTACCTTTGGTTTTCATGTCTTTTGATTCTTCTAAAATAACCCCATTGAACTTGTACAAAAATATAAACTTTAAATAGCAATCTTAAATATTTTACAGTCTAAACGCTGTTTTGAATGAACTTCTGTAAAAATCCAAAGGGAAAACATTTATCCTCTTGAAACTTGTGGTTTCGTAACCCTTTTGAAGCGATGCATGTCCTTGTTGTTTTCCTGATCTAGTACCACCACTTATACTTGAGAAGTAGTTTGAAACTACAGTATAACTTTTTAAAAACTAAGAGGAGGTTGGGAATATTGCAAATGAACCAGTGGGTCCTGATGATCGATCGGAGGCCTAGGCCGTCCTGTACTCCCAGTAGGCTTTTAAAACGGTTGGGAAGTGGCAAGGGTAAGGAACACTTACATCTCTGATGTTGGGTAGCCACAGCCACAGCCTGTGATCCC